AATAATCGATCCTAAAATGTAACCATAAATTTGTACTATATCAAAGATTAAGCTAATAAAAAACCAACTGGCATTGTTGCCAAAGTTTAAAAAAAAAAAAAAAAAAAAAAAAAAAAACTTTCAATAATATAATCAGACTAATGAAAGTCTATAAAACTCCTCTAAAGAAATAGGCAGATAAACTAAATAACAAGATATATAAAAAATTACTTGACCAACTAGGCTGCCAGAATTATCAGAAGAACAAAATACATATGTATATCATACTGGGCTATCTGGATTAGAAGTCGGAAAAGTCCTGTTAGTTCTAAGTAGTAGTTAGTAAAAGATAATAGAAAAAATATCATAATAATAGGTTTGAAGTTCTAGTGAACTTTACAAGAATAGAAATAGTGTAATGTAGTGATTAAACAGATAACCCCTGTGATTGCAAGTGTTAGATAACTATAGCATATTGTATAAAACTATGTCAGTTGTGTATAAGATACAGAAGGTTCTAGTAAGTTTTCTGTCAAAGATAAATTAGTCTTAAGGGTTTCAAAAGCATCAGGTACCTTAAATAGATGTAGCTCAAAAGATATTTCTGTAATCACAAGTCAGACTATATATGCAAAAGGTTTAAATAGACAAGATTTGTAGTTGGCTTGCAGATATAGCATTTAGTGTAGAATCTATATAGTAATGTATAAACAGATTACTTCAATTAGATACTAAAAATGTACATGTAAATAGTTGTAACATCCTATATATGAAAGTTTTTAGAGGCATTTATGTTCAAATACTTGAATAAAAACATTGATTCCTAAAAGCAGAAACTTTAACTTAAAAAAAAAAAACTTTTTTAAATATATAGTATATAAATCTAGATAAGTTATCAACTTTTAAATAGCAGGTTTAGTATTTAAATTCTATCTATAATAAAATTTGGAAATTATATTTATATTACAACATACTATCTTTTGACAATTAGTTAGATTGATATATCTATAATCTTAACTTATATTATTTCAAATGAGAGAATAAAACATCTATATAAAATATAATATTATATATATATAACAGAATATTAAAAATTAGTATTATATACAACTTTAATGCAAACTTCTAATAAAATTATTAGATTTAGTAAACTAAGAAACTAAAAAGTTAAAAACTTACTTAAAAATTTTTAAATAAAGTCTTTTAATAATATAGTTTAACTAATAAAAACTTAAAAATTTCTTTAAAAAAAATAAGCAAATAAACTAAATAGCAAATATATAAAAGAAATACAGTCACCTCTGTCAAAACTGATCCTGTCAAACATGATAACCCTCAATAATCAATATAAAATTGATCTTTCATAGCTGTTCCATAATCCAAACCCGATAACTTGTCAATTTTGATAATTGATACTTAAAAGATGAGATATTGGGTTGGAGAGTTGTATACAAAAGTATTATTTTTAATACTGTATATAAATATAAAATGCTAGCCATCAAAAACAATACTATCAGACCGTAAATTATATCTTCACTGATTATCAATTTTTTTACCTCCATACTACTCTTAGAATTATAATATATGCACTCTTTTAGAGTCTGGCACCTTATGAAATTACTCGATATATAACCCAAATCAGTCTGAATAAAACAAAACGAAACAGCAAAAACAAATAAAAAAACAGCTATCTGAACCTGTCTTGGTTTACTAAATAAAGCATCAGAAATGCGATTTTACTACATATATATAAGTACCTTTTATCAAATCCTAACACTAACCCTAATATTAATCTGCTACATTAATTAATTAAAAATCAGAAGCTTTAAACAACCCCCTCTTTTAACAAAAAAGTTTATATGATCTAGATCTTATAATTTCCATGCTATGCTCTTTCGATTTGAGCCTGTACTACTTTGTTTTTACTTTGGAAAAGTGTATTTTATATTAAAAACAGAAAATCTTAAATGCACAAGGTTACTACTAAACCACACACAATAATTTTCATAGCTAAAATATTTTGCAAAATAAAATTGGTAGATCTATATTTTCTTAAATTGCAAATCTTGGATTATCTAAAAAAATCGAAGAACATAATCACAATGTGAAGAAATTTATAGAGTTATGCCTTATGTTGCATCTAAAGTTTTAGAAGTCAAACCTTATATACATCATTAATGTAAGTGCACTTGACTTTTTTTAAATGTATCGAACCTTTTTTAAAAAACTTACTCTATAATGAACTTTTTTAAAAAAAATTTATTAGAGTTCGGTATAGAAGCATAATGTTTTATTTTATAAGGTCAAATCAATTTAATTATCTGTTTAACAATTTTTTCCACTCTTATGAACTATTTTATGTTATGTAAAACAGAAAATCAATTTGGAGTGGCCTAAAGAACGTTTAAACATTATTTATTTAGATTATTTACTTATTCATAAAGATGACTTAAGCATTTGCTGGTAGAATTTAAGGAAAGTTTTTTTTTTTGTTAATGCTTTAATTGTTTTATGAATTAGCTATTCACATACTAGTAATATTATAAAAGCAAACCTTAAAAAAAAAACGATCTAGTGTACATTGGACCTGTTTTTCATTTTTTTCTATTCGAAACTTATTACAAATTTGCAATTGGATCTTATGAAGAGACCTCAATGTTACTCCTCCATCATCAATCATCTCGGTAACAATTTTTAAAGCATCACGCAAAATGGTCAACTTTTTTTTTGCAATTAGGATTGGTTCTAAGATTTCTTCCTTTTTTTTTTCTTGTTCTATTTCTATGGCACCTTGAATGAAGTTTTCATCAGCAAATTGTTGGTGCACCTCTTGTTCATCTTGTTGATTCAACTAGTCATCGATTGACATTGGAGTACAAATATGTAGAGTATCTATTTGCTGTTAAAGTTCTTCAAAAATTAATTCTTCAGTTGGGTCATCTTCTATACTTTCAAGATCATTAATAATAGAAGTGGAAATAGGCTTTCCAGTTTCATCATGTGGTGATACAATTTTTGTGTGGAACCAACAATTTTTAATGGTTTCAGCTGACACCTCATTCCAGGCAATTTTTGCCTATCTTATGCCTAGTATTGTGTGTTGTAACAAAAATATAATAGATTAGTTTGTTTTTTTAAAAAATCGATTAATTGATTAATTAATAATAATTGATTAATCAATTAGTTGCAAAATTCATAAAATTTGTAAAATTTGCAGGTCATCAAAAAAAAAAAAAAAAAATCATCAAAAATCATTTGATTGTTAGATGATTTCTAATTTCTTAAAAAATTTTTATATTAGGGTAATTTTTAAGAAATTATCTAACAATTGTAACAGAAAGAACTGTTGATGTTACATGATTGATTTTTTACTTAGTATACAATATATAAAAAAATTATTTTACAATACTAAATCATTTCATTAGTACATGTTATGATTATAATCTTACACCATTTTATTATAGTAAAAATGGTATAAGATTATAATTATAAAATATACTAATGGAATGATCTAGTATTGTAAATTAATTTTTTTATATGTCACACATCAGGTGAAGGATCAGTCATTTAACATCAACAGTTTCTCCTGTTACGTAACAATCATGCAATTTTTAGTGTTTTTTTTGTAATAATCTGCAAATTTTGCAAATTACAATAATTGTGACAGATTAAAATGAAATCAAATTAAAATAAAATGAGTGATAGTGTTAAATAGATAAACTACTGAAAAATACAAATTTTTGAAATATATTTTTTAGCATTTTTTTAGAGTTAGGATTAGTGTTTAGAGGTAAAATTTATAATAAACAAGTATAGGTAGGTTTTAGAAAGTTAAATAGAAATCTCTCATTTTATTTTAATCCGATTTCATTATGATTTGTGACAATAATTAGTTAACAATTCTAATTATTAAATTTAATAGATTAGTTAATCGATTAATTCATGCCTTGCAACTAATCAACTTTATAAATATCCACTTTACCAGCTTCATCTAAATCAATTGCATGCTGAAGTTGTAGACAACAATAATGGAGCTTAAAGGATGTGATAATGCCAGCATCCATGGGTTGTAATTTAGATGTTGTTTTGGATGGTAGGAAAAGAACTTTCACATTAGTAAAAGAAAGAGTGAGAATGACATGTGTAGGAGCCTGGTCAAGAATAAGAAGAATATGACAGTTAGATTCTCTCATTTCATTATCTAATTTTTTTATTCACTTCTGAAAACATATAGCAGTCATTTATGCTTTGTTATTATTGCGATAATAGAATTCAAGTTGTTTTCCAGTCTTTTTTTTAAAACACCTTGGTTTTGTCACATGTCTAATAAAAAAAGGTTGAAGCTTATAGGTGCTGTAGCATTAACTGTAAGTGCAATCATGATTCTTATTTTGTCTTTTTTTGATCCTTCAATTTGATGAGATGCGATTGTACAATCGGATGCCATAGAGTAAAACAAGCCTATTTTATTTATATTGTAAATATCATGTAGAGGGTATTGATCAGTAGTACAAATAATAGTTGGAAGACTTAAGTTAATTGCTTCAACATCTGCAGAACCACTTTCACCATGTAGTCTATGTCTATGAAAATTATGCCTTTCCTAAAAGTAGTATTAAAATCGAAGCAAAAAAAAAAAAATTAACTAAATTAATTAATTAGAAAGATTAGTAAATTATTGCAGTTTGCAAATTTTATAAATTTGCAGATAGGATTGGTAGTACAGAGTACTTGACGATGCCAATGATACATCAATATAGTGCACCAGCTGACATGCCAGCATAGGTGTGGTGCAAAAGTGGCAAGCAATTATAATTAAGTTTACTTTATATTAAGAAGGCATGTATGATTCTGAGAATTACAATAGACAGAATTTTTTAAAGATAGCTGAAGGATAGAATCAGTTTGTTTAACATTAAGTTAACTGTAACAATAAGTTAGATTAGTTAATCAAAGTTCTGATGTAGATAGTGAATAAACACATAATATGAACATAATCGAGTTAAAAAGTGATAAAATTGTACGAAACAGAAGTTTGAGCAAACTAACAAGGTGTAGTAAATGTATTTTTGCATCTCTGAAGGTAAAATGAAGCTGCTAGCTAGCAATATAATATAGTGGTATACCTGATAGTGTGCTATGCACCAGAGAGTTTCATTAGCGCACCAATGGTGCACTACTAGAATTATAACTATACACCAATCCTATTTGCAGATTATTAAAAAAAAGAAATCACTCGATTGTTAACAATTGAGCGATTTTTTTTTTTTAATAATCTGCAAATTTATAAAATTTTGCAAACTGCAATAATTGATTAATTGATTAGTTGCCAATTTAAAACTACCTAAAAGGAATGCAGCCAACCATTTGAAAATTCGAGTTAGTCATTCTCAAGAATATGTAATATCTCTGCAAATTTTGTACCCTTAGCTTTAATTATATCTCTACTTAGACGTACTCCCCAGTGTTCACACTGTAATACCCAATTTGCCAAGGCGGTATCTAGTTCAGGAAACATAATAACATGATGCTTTTTAATTCCAAGGTCATTAGAAAACATTTTTTTAAACTCTTCTGTTTTTTTTAGAATATCCGAAATTGTGCTCTGAGCTGGAGCCTTTGTAAGATTGAATTCTTTTTTTGCCTATTCAGCAAGTTCTTTTTGAGTAATTGATGGGTTCAATTCATGATATTCACATATCGCCTTCCTTTGTTCATTGCGTAAATTGCCTTCTTTCATTATTTATTATTATTGTTTTTTTATAATAACAAACTTGAGCTTGCAGAAAAAAATTTTTATGTTCTTTTTATTATTTATTAATTTTTTTTTATTTTTTTAAGTGATGACTAATTTATTATGATTATGCAACAGGAAGTATTTTTTTCTTTTTTTATCTCTCTAACTATTTAATTTTTTGTTTATCAAATATATTAATAAATAACACAGCCTTGACTAGTTTTTTTTACTTTTATCTTTGCTTTTGTTAAAGATCAATAGTTCGACCTTGAGCTAACTCCAGCCACCAGAATTGCTAATAATAGCTTACCATGGTTATTTATCATGACAAATTACTATTTTGGCAGCTTATTATGATAATTTACAATGATAAGTTACTATTTTGATGGCTTACCATGGTAATCTACTATGGTAAGTTACTATTTGGTAGCTTACTACCAAAGTTTATCATTTTAAACTATCATAATTCATGACCCTATCTGTTACAGCTTGAAATTAATTATGCTCAAGTCAGATATAACTTTGAGGCTTAAAGCTAATACTTGATACAAATCAGTTTAAACAGGTTTAGTATAAAATTCTGGTATCCAAAATCTTGACAGGCCATAATACTATTGTTACATGATGTAATAGTTAAAAATTTAAAGTCTGAAAATAATTATTAATGTGATTACTAATCTTTAAATATTAGTTGTCATATCACGTGATGTCAGTATTATGGCCTAATGAGATTTTGGATATTGAGATTTCATATTAGATCCATTTTAAACTATTAGCAGGTGCTAATTTTATTTACTTATATGCATATTTTTTATATTTTTTATATTACATTATTTTAATTAAAATATATAAAATATGTATGCAGTTAAATAAATAATTTTGTGCAAAATTAAATAGAAATATACAATTAATTAAAGACAGGTAAGGCTTTGCATTAAATTATTTATAGATCAATTTTCACATAAATGCTAACTATTCCTATACATTGATTACTTTATTTGAAAATAACCATTTAGAAAGTCGAGTAGCCTGTTATTAATGCTCATGAAAATGCCAGTGCCTAAATATTTTTGACATAGCAACAGCTAGTTTCTACAGCATGTATAGCTTAAACTTAATTAATTATTTAGTTTTAATCAAATAGTAAAGTAGAGAATTTATATCATCAAAATAAACAGAATATAGAATCGTTTAGGATCTTAATTTTAAGTATCATATTTTTTATTAATATAGTTATAAAAAAGTACTATTTAGGCCTTGCATATACAGAAGATCTGCTTTTCACCCATTTGAAGTACATTTTTAGGAAACTTGCCTAGCCCCATTTCAAGACTAATACAATCCAATAATATTGGACTGATGTAAGGAAAGTTAAATCAGATAAGCTTTTTAATTTACCTTTTTTTTAGTGTATTTATGTTTTATTTTTGTGTTTGTGAAAACTTTCAACTTTTTCCTGAATCAGATCAGATGTATTACTAGTAGAACCAACCACTCTAGCATCACCACTTTAAAGAATTTTACTATCGGGCTGAATTAAAATTTAAACCAAAATTACTCAAAACCTAACCCTAACACTGGTAGTGAAATTTTTTTAGAGTGATGATGCTAGGGTCTTATGTAGAACCTTCTAACAGTATTGTAACATGATGTCAATAATTCAAACTAATTGGATTTTTTTTAATATGGGGCTAGTGGCCCTGATCACTAGACCTATATATAAAAAAAGAACAATTAGTTTAAAAAATTAACACCGACCATCTATAAGCATTAGCTCAAATAATTTGACTCGACTTAAGGTTGATTAGCATTGGCTATAAGCCTAGCTGTTTGCATTACTACTGATGACTTTTGTTAATTTCAACAAGAGTTAATAACAGTGTGATGATTATTTATAAACCTAAACTTAATTTTCTACTAATGAAGAGTTGATATTAATGAGAGGTTAATATTAATGAGAGTCATCTATAGGTATAACTCCAGGCTCTTTTGACTTAACTCTGCATAAACTATAGGAAAATTTACAAATAAGGGTCCAGAAAGTAAAAATAATTACAAATACAGGCCCAAATTAGAAATAATTACATATAAGGCTCTAATTTTTAAAAAATATTACATATAAGGGCCCAAGTCTATCAATGGCTAAAAAAATGTGATCACAGAACTACTGTGCCACAAAGTACTATGACCCTTTGACTAATGATGATAGCAAAATCGCGATTATAAAATATAGCATTGGTTATAATTATTTTTGCTCAAATATTGTACAAAAAATTATTATAAAACTATAAAGTTTCAATAAAGTGGCTCTCTAGAGCTGAACAAGTATCTGCCATATTAATAAATAGTATATCAATTTGCAGTGCTTGACTTGATATCATAGTGGTCTGTTAATAAACAATTTTATACAAAGAAAATGAAATTTATTAAATTTAAAAAGCTAACCTTTTCTCATTTATAATTACTAATTTACAATCAATCATTACATTTTTTATGTGCTTAATAACTATGCTACATTTCTTTTGCTAATAACGATGCTTGAATAATGTTACAATCATTTTTGGCTCTTATATGTAATATTTAATTTGGGCCTGTATTTGTAATTATTTTCACTTTCTGGGCCCTTATTTGTAAATTCCTCTAAATTATAATCACAATTGTTTGCATTTTTGCAATTTACATCTGATATGCCTCAATTTATAAAGAGCTTAATAATTCTTATTTAATTAAATATATAAATAATTGTAGTCAAATAAGAGTTGCGATCTGTAATTATATATTTATAAAATTTAAAAAGCCTATGTATTGTGTGAAATAAATTTATTAATTTGCCAATCATATTTTGTATGCATCACATGACATAGTATTTACTGAATTTTGAGATTTTTTAAATTTGATACCCTCTTAAACCTAATTTAAAACCTTTCCACCATGCATATCGGTTTTGACAGAGGCGACTGTATATATATATTTTTTGGTATTAAGGTGACCTCTTTGGTCTTTTGACTTTTATTAATCACTTATCAGTATTGTGATTCAATGAACCACTACAGAAGAGCATACAATTGGCTATATATATAACTTTTCTATATTACCTATTTAAGGAGTCTGCTCGAAGATTCCTTACCAATTGCCATACCTAATATTCCTGCTTGAGTGTTCCACATTAAACCCTCTGAACCTGTAACCTGTGTTAATATCACTGGTCATCTCAGATGTACCAGATCATTGTCCTTAACCTTAGAACTAATTTATTCTTGAGATAAACCTTCTAGAGCCTTCTGTACCCATTTTTACAGCTGACCTAGGTATCACTATAGCAGAATCAACACTTGCAATCAGTGCTAACCATTTAACTGCTATGCCCTTGTAGAGTTCACTTAGACCCTAGCATCTACTTCACAGCATAACCCCAGTACTTTAGTATGCCCCTGCCTTTTTTTCTGCCCTTTTACC